TGGCAAAATGCTAACATTTGTCAAATATCAGCACTGAGTACATGGATGTGTGCGCTCTTCTCCAGGTTTGAAATATTCTATAATAAATAATTTTTAAAAATCAAAAGAAAAAAAAAAGTGCCCCATGGAGTTAGTCTTGGCAGTTGAAATGAGCGAGATCAGGTAATGACCACAGATGGAAGCCACCTCCACCCTCCTATTCAGAGTTTTAAGTCTTTATTGTGCCAGCTGTCAGAAAAATGAACCATGGAACTTTTTGCAAAGAGCTGGTATAAATTGGCAAGCCTTGTTTTTGTCAACCTTGGAGGGTTTGCTTGGTTCATATGATAGTTTTTTTTTTTTTTTCTTGTTTTGGTCTGTTCTGATTTAATTCTTTAAAAGTGGATATAACTTATCTTTACAAGTACATTCCCCTGCCAGTGCACAATTGCTATGGCTAGATCTGTGATTTCGTTTCATGCATTTAAACTTTATGTATGCTAGTTATTGGACTCCCCAGGTGGTGCTAGTGGTAAAGAACCAACCTGCTAACGCAGGAGGCATAATAGACAGGGGTTAGATCCCTGGGAAGATCCCCTGGAGGAGGAAATGGCAACCCACTCCAGTATTCTTGCCTGGAAAATCCCATGGAGAGAGGAGTCTGGTGGGCTACAGTCCATGCGGTCACAAAGATTTGGACATGACTGAAACATAAACTTCATTCAAGCATGCACATTCCAGTTATTGGGGCTTCCCTTGTGGCTCCAGTCTGCAATGCAGGAGATGCAGGTTCAGTCCCTGGGTCAAGAAGATCCCCTGGACAAGGAAATGGCAATCCACTCCAGTGTTCTTTCCTGAGAAATCCCACAACAGAGGAAACTGGCAGCCTACAGTCCATGGGGTCACAAAAGAGTCAGACACAACTTAGTGACTAACCCACCACATAGTAGTAACTCCATAGAAGAACTGATTATTTGTTGGGAACTGATTTTTATCAATACATTAAGTACCACGTCTGATGATGCTTTCCTTGGTATCCCTATGAAGCGATTGCTTCCCTTATGATAAATATGTGTGGTTTATGAAGAAAATATCTTACCAAATGCATAGACCAAATACAGAACTTGAAATAACCTTATTGTTGAAAACAGAAAACAGACAATAGCCTTGAGGAAGGATGGAGTCCAGCACTTAGAACTGGTGAAGGTGACAAAGGAATTCACGGGGCCTGGACTCCATCTTGGGCCTGTTCATGCTGATCACACTCGGCCGCCTCTCCAGTGGGCTCTGAACTCTGTTTAGTGCCTATGGAAATGACAACAGAAGGATAAGACCCCCTCCAGACAGGGCAATCTTGAAGATCATATCCAGGTTACTCCTCGCCTAAGAGAATACATACACTAATCACCCTTCCTCCAGACAGGCCATAAAATTTTCTGTATCTGCCAGAGTGTAACCTCGGGCTTATTGATTATTGGCTAATTGTTTAACTGTCTGAGCACATGGCACATGAGTGATGGGGTTATTGGGATTGTATTTACCCTTCCTTTGTTTATGTAAATCTCAAGGAACTTGGGGTGGTGGGTTTGGACACGTACACATGGGGTATGAAAGATTTTCACAAATGCTGGTCGGGGTCCTTGGCTAAGAGGAGACTCTGCCTTGGGCCCGCCGGTGTAACAAACTGCACTCCACTATCTGCATTGTCCTTCTGAGTGAGTTTGTTTCCCGGAACGCGTGGCTACAACACAGGCAAGTTCCACACAGTAGTTACCCGAGTCATGGGTCTGCTTGGTAGGGTTGGGGGCCTTTGTAAGCTAGGAGTGGTTTGGGCTGCAAATCACAGGCTGCCTGGTTTACAGAGGTTGATGCCTGAAGACACTTGGTTATCTCAGAGCGCAGAGTCTACAGTTGGGAAGCCCAGGACTGGTTCAGCTGCTCAAGCACCTTGACAAAGCCCAAACTCTATCATTCTGCTCTGCCAACCCCAGCATGTGGCTTGTCATTTAAGTGCTTACAAAATGGCTGATGCAGCTATGAGCAGCATGACTGCTTTCAAAGGCAGGAGGCAGAGGCTGGGAGAAACAGAGAAAGCCAAGGTAGAAGAAAACACAAACAAAAGACCTTTTTCTCCAATGGTTCACTTTAAAATATATATATTTACTTTATTTTGCTCCATCGGGTCTTAGCTGTGTCATGCAGGATCTCTCATTGTGGCGCACAGGGGCTCGGTAGTGGTGGGGCTTAGTTGACCCACGGCATGTGAGATCTTAGTTCCCCGTCCAGGGATCAAACTCATGACCTCTGCATTGCAAGGCAGACTCTTAACCACTGGACCACCAGGGAAGTTCCCGGTGGTTCACTCAAGAAACAACTTTTTACAAAACCTTCCCAGTAGACTGGATCCATGATTTACCTGGGTTTGGTATAGTACAATCCCAACAAATTTGTGCATCTTTTAGCAATAACTAAAATGTAGAGGAAGAGCTATTAAATTGATAATAAAGCAGAATGCCTTAAATTTTGTATGTACGTGTGTGTTCAGTTGTGTCCAACTCTTTGCGACCACGTGGACTGTAACCTGCCAGTCTCCTCTGTCCATGGGATTTCCCAGGCAAGAATACTGGAGTGGGTTGCCATTTCCTTCTTTAGGGTATCTTCCCGACCCAGGGACCAAACCTGAATCCCCTGCATTGTCAGGCAGATTCCTTACCACTGAACCAACAGAGAAACCCCCAAATTTTGTATGTGCCAGGTCAATTTTGGACTGGGGAATGATATAGCCCTCTAGAGTTGTTTTGAAACATGTGGTGAATTAAACAAACAGCTCTTTTCTGTTGTTGTTCCTAACAAAGCTACTTAAGGAACTCACAAAATACTAAACTTCAGTTTTTGGAGGTTTATTAACCTTTATTGGTTTTTTATAACAGCAAAGGAGGAGGCAAGGATTCCTCATGTTAGAGTGACATACTCACCCCAGTTCACCCAGGACTTTCTCCGTGTCAGCACTGACCATCTGGCACCCTGATAAACCCACAGGTCCTGAGGCAGAAGATTCTGAAGATCTGATGGAAAGTATTTGATAAGAAAAGAAATCTTGAGAAGGCATCACAAAACACAGAGTTTTATTGTTCAGTCACTCAGCCATGTCCAACTCTTCGCAACACCATGGACCACAGCATGCCAGGCTTCCCTGTCCTTCACCACAAATTCCCTGCATTGTCAGGCAGATTCCTTACCACTGAACCAACAGAGAAACCCCCAAATTTTGTATGTGCCAGGTCAATTTTGGACTGGGGAATGATATAGCCCTCTAGAGTTGTTTTGAAACATGTGGTGAATTAAACAAACAGCTCTTTTCTGTTGTTGTTCCTAACAAAGCTACTTAAGGAACTCACAAAATACTAAACTTCAGTTTTTGGAGGTTTATTAACCTTTATTGGTTTTTTATAACAGCAAAGGAGGAGGCAAGGATTCCTCATGTTAGAGTGACATACTCACCCCAGTTCACCCAGGACTTTCTCCGTGTCAGCACTGACCATCTGGCACCCTGATAAACCCACAGGTCCTGAGGCAGAAGATTCTGAAGATCTGATGGAAAGTATTTGATAAGAAAAGAAATCTTGAGAAGGCATCACAAAACACAGAGTTTTATTGTTCAGTCACTCAGCCATGTCCAACTCTTCGCAACACCATGGACCACAGCATGCCAGGCTTCCCTGTCCTTCACCATGTCCCGGAGCTTGCTCAAACTCATGTCCATTGAGTCAATGATGCCATCCCACCATCTCATCCTCTGTCACCCCTGTCTCCTGTCTTCAATCTTTCCCAGCATCAGGGTCTTTTCCAAAGAGTCAGCACTTCAAGTCAGGTGGCCAAAATATTAGGAGCTTCAGCTTCAGCATCAGTCCTTCCAATGAATAGTCAGGGTTGATTTCTAGACATTGCATAATGCAATGAAAACATATGGACAGGGGCATGTTGCATGACAATTTGACATTGCTGCATTAACTAGCAGTGATTTGGTTGAGTTTATCAGCCTCCAAAATATAATCAACTCTAAGCTACATCTTTTCCTGAGATAACAGATATTTATTTAGTCTTTTAGTTCCTTCATTTTCCAGACCACCGATTGTACCCAAAGGAAAATGAGATTTGTTCTGCCCAATTCTAAGGGGATCCTATCCTGACTCTTGATTATTTTCAATTTCTTTAACAACAGCTCACCAATAATTTCAATGTAAAGAATAAATTACCTGTAAATAATCCATGATGGGATTTTTGTCAGGGAGCAAATCTCTATTTTAAAGGGTTTGGTTTCTCCAATTTCCAAAAAAAAAAAATCCAGAAAACAAAACCAGGTCAGTGTTTGCACATTCTCGGTATTCTGTCACCTGACTCATCTTTCATAATTTATCAGAGAAACGGTGGATTCTTCAGTAACACCTGCATACGCCTTTGGTTTCAAGGCTGCAGTTTCTAAGGTGTAGTCCCTCGGATTCACTGAGTCTGGTGAGGAGTCTTCTCACTAGCTTTCTTCCTACTGGGGGCTTTAGCCGTCTCCTACTCATGGTTAGTCTAGCCTTCCTGGTTTGAAGATAATTTCTCTAATGGAGAAAAGAAAAGAACAAAATAGAAGTTGAATAGCCTTTTTCCCCTTTCATCAGTTGATATAATAGCATCTGTCCCCAAGTAGTGTGATTAAATGTAATTAAAATAAACTCTGAATTCATTTGAATGATTTTTATATCTGGGGCTATATGTTTTCATTTCTCAGCTCTTTTTAAATATAGGCTTAGATTTGCCCCAGAAATTGGACAGAGAAAAATGAAAATGGGTAAGGGAATAGAAGAAATGACTCGTAAATTTTAAGGAAATTGATTCTTTTTGGACAGACATTTATTGTGTATATACATCAAGCCAAAACAAATGGTTTCCAGGTGAGGAATTCAGTTAATCAGCAGAATGCTCCCCACCCCACCCTCTACATTCTGTGTATTGGTGGGTTGTGTGACATTGGTTGGCATGCAGGGCAAACTGTCTGGATTTATCAGTTGGCTCTAGATTTACCGTCTTAATTAGCCAGCTCTCCTTTGAGACCTCAGAGGCAATAATAGATCAAGTGGCCGAAAAAGATATGTTTTTCCTGCTTCTGTGACCTTCTCGCCAGTGCTGTGAGTCTTTCTCAATTAACGAAAGATGTGGAACATTGCAAGTTAGTGGAGCCCTGTGTTTGATATTACAAGTAAACAGCATCGAAGAGAACAGATCTCCTACCTTGAGGTCCTTACATTCCCTTGGGAACTGGGACAGAGTGGTGCACAGACAGCTTGAGATGTGGCAGAACGTGGGCCGTTCCATAAGGCTAGGATCTAGTGAAAGGGAATAATCAGTTTAGAGGGCCAGGGAGGCTTTACAGGCAAGTGTGAGTTGAATAGACCTTACCCTTGCTCCTGTGGTAGAATTTTGACAGGGGGAGTGCCCTGACAGGCATTCTCAACAAGGAGATCCTTATTGTGTGTGTGACTCATGGTGTGACTCAAGGGATAGAGGTCGGAAGCTGCATAGTGTGTTTGGAGACTCTGAGAAGCCCAGTGCGTTCGAACCTGCTGTGAGCAGGGTTTGCCTGGCTTACGGAGCTGTGGTCTCACTGTTGTCATCCGTGTCTTCCTACACGTGTGGCTGCAGCAGTGTCGCCTGCAGTTAGCTAGAAATAAAGTCTCAGGCCCTGCCCCAGACTTGCTGAGTCAGAACTGCATTTTCAAAGATTCAGTACTCTGTGACAAACAAGAGGGGTGGGATGGGGTAGGGGGCTCGAGAGGAAGGGGATATACGTATACCTATGGCTGATGCCCACTGATATATGGCAGAAACCTGCGCAATATTGTAAAGCAATTATTCTCCAGTTAAAAGTGAATTAATTAAAAAACAAAACCAAAAAAGGATCTCAAGTGGTTTGCAGGCATGCTGCAGTTTGAAAAGGTGGTCTTTAGAGAGCATCTGTGCTGTCTTTAATCTGCTGTCCCTCATGTCACATGGAAGACCTGCTGTCTCTTTTTATTCTACTGATAGCCACTGCTCAATCTTTCAACAATACGCTTAAAATCTGGATTTCCTGAAGCTTCAACATGAAAAAGGCAACAGTTACTACTGACTCCTTGTCAGAGAGGAACTGAGCCCCTTTCCTCAGTCTCCCCCTGCCCATTGCCTCCTTCCTTCCTCACTCTTTTGTGTCCCCCAAGTCTACTCCCTGAAAACCCTGCCTACGATTCTCTGTCTCAGAGTCTGTATCCTGGAAACCCAACCAACGACAAGGGCTAAATCTTAGAAGAAGANCTGGGGGGGGGGGGAGTGGGGAAGTGGGAGGAAGAAGTTATGGAGAAGAAAGAAGATGAGGGAAGGGGTAGATCACAAGTACAATAAGATGCTATTGCTTTCAGTGACTCCCCAAAACACTAGCTAAGTCTATATGCATCATGAAATGTGGGTTGATGAAATTTCTTGTGGAGACAAGTTATGGTCTGATTTCTGTATCCTGTTGACTCTGGAGTCAGACAGACACCTTGGTCAGGTCCTCAGGCAAGGGCTTTCTAGTCGGGATCTGAGTTCCACCTGTGGACACTTTTCTGCAGAGTTCAGATTAGGGTGCAACCTCCCAGCTCATCTGCAGATGGTGACCAAAATCACTGCAGATGGTGATGGCAGCCAGGATATTAAAAGATGCTTGCTCCTTGGAAGAAAAGCTATGAGCAACCTAGACAGTCTATTAAAAAGCAGAGACATTACTTTGCCGACAAAGTCTGTCTGGTCAAAGCTATGGTTTTTCCAGTAGTGATGTATGGGTGTGAGAGCTGGACTATAAAGAAAGCTGAGCACCGAAGAATTGATGCTTTTGAGCTGTGGTGTTGGAGAAGACTCTTGAGAGTCCCTTGGACTGCAAGGAGATCCAACCAGTCCATCCTAAAGAAAATCAGTCTTGAATATTCCCTGGAAGGACTGATACTGAAGCTGGCCAGTACTCTGATGTGAAGAACTGACTCACTGGAAAAGACCTTGATGCTGGGAAAGATTGAAGGTGGGAGGAGAAGGGGATGACAGAGGATGAGATGGTTGAATGGCATCACCGACTCAATGGACATGAATTTGAGCAAGCTCTTAGAGTTGGTGATGGACAGGGAAGCCTGGCATGCTGCCATCCATGGGGTCACAAAGAGTTCGACGTGACTGAGTGACTGAACTGAACTCCCAGCTCATCTCAGACTAAATCGTCCCCATTAGAATAGACCCGAACCGCATCCTCACCTTGGATGTTAAACTTTTCGACAGAAGAAGGCATGGCTTGCTATGGGACTGGGGAGTCCATCTCAGATTCAAATGGGAAGTTGTGAAGATCCCCCTGAGGCCAATCCTTTTAGCCAAGAAAAGATGCAAAACCACTGAGGCATCGCCAAGGAGGCACATACGTATGTTTAAGGGCTTAAGACCAACCTTTATAGGGGGATGCCCAGAAGAAAGCATGTGAATCCTGACATGAGTCAGAATGCTTACCTGTCGTTTCCACGTTGCCCAAGTTCAACAGGACAGGATGCGCCCTGGGCTGTGTGGATCACAGGCATGAGTCGCTGCAGCTGTACTTCTGTCAGTCTCTGCAGGAAACCGAGATGGTTCAGATGAACAGAAATCCATGAAGAGACCACTCACGGAGAGCTAGTCTAGGCCCGGGGGATATAAAGGGAGGAGAAGTCACCCAGAGATCAGCAGCAGAGGGAAGCCGTGGCCACCCCTGGGCTGAAGCAACATGGGCAAAAAAGATGTTTATGGAGCCTTAGGAGTTGGACCTCACATCTCCTGGTGGTTCAGTGGTAAAGAGCCCGCCTGCCAATGCAGGAGATGCAGGCTTGATCCCTGGGTTGGGAAGGTCCCCTGGAGAAGGAAATGGCAACCCACTCCAATATTCTTGCCTGGGAGATCCCACAGACCCTGGTGGGCTACATACAGTCCATGAGGTTGCAAAGAGTCGTACATGACTTAGTGACTAAACAAAAACAAGGAGTTGGATCAGTAGAGGAGGGATCACCTGGTGGCAGGAGGGTGAATCAAAGGGGAAAAAAGCCAAAGATGAAGCCATGGGAGGAGGAAGGGGAGATGTACCCTGACCTCCCTTTCCTCCACTTTCCAACCTCCTGCCCAGATTTCCCATCAGTTGGACCCAATCAGAAACCTTAGGAAAGAGAGCCTAAGGCCATAGGGGACCCAGAACAGAGCAGAGAAAGGTGGAGAGTGAATCCTTTGGAGGTTGGTGGAGAGGAATTGACAGATGGAGAACAATCATACTGGGTTGCTGTCTGGTGAGAAGTTCTCCTCTTAAAAAGAAAAAAAAGCTCAGTAGTCTCCAATGTGTGGGTTCAGGACAGATTATTCCAGCAGGCATGTGCTAGGAAAGAGTGGCTGGCAGGAAGTCGAGGCTCAGAAGGAGATCCATGCAAGGTCCCGGGTGTGGCCCTGGAGGAGGGGCTTGTGTGGAGTGTCTGAAGGCGGTGCCATGGTAGGTTTGTGGCCAGGCTTCTGACACGATTTGTGACCTGTCTGCATCTAACTTTCTGTCCTCCCCACTTTGGTTCACTGCCCTGCTTGGCAGGGTCCTAAAAGATTCTTCAGGCCTCTATCTCACCCCGGCTCACTGCCCTCATTGCTACCATGGAGGAAAGCTGGTGAAGGCAGGGCTTACTGAGCAGGTTTGGAAAATTCAACTTTCTGTCTCAGGCTGGAAAGCTCTCCTTAATAGGTCATGGTCCCAGTGAGGCCACACAGGCCATCCACGTTGTCAGAACCGAAGAAGGAAGAGAAGCTCATCTTGTCTGCCGAGAGCAGACCTCAGTGCCCTGAGAAAGTTCTTAAGAGTTCGCAGAGGTAACTAAAGGTCTGGAGCTATAATTCTCCATCTTCTGTATACTCCCCAGGGGAGGACAATGTGCTCTTCTTGGAAGGCTAGTACCCTTTCAAGTGTACAGAAAGAAGTACCTTTGCTTTGCAGGGTAGGAAGTCATTTCTAGCACTTTAATAGACATCTTTCTGTCCTTTTCAGGCCTCTATCTCACCCCGGCTCACTGCCCTCATTGCTACCATGGAGGAAAGCTGGTGAAGGCAGGGCTTACTGAGCAGGTTTGGAAAATTCAACTTTCTGTCTCAGGCTGGAAAGCTCTCCTTAATAGGTCATGGTCCCAGTGAGGCCACACAGGCCATCCACGTTGTCAGAACCGAAGAAGGAAGAGAAGCTCATCTTGTCTGCCGAGAGCAGACCTCAGTGCCCTGAGAAAGTTCTTAAGAGTTCGCAGAGGTAACTAAAGGTCTAGAGCTATAATTCTCCATCTTCTGTATACTCCCCTAGGGAGGACAATGTGCTCTTCTTGGAAGGCTAGTACCCTTTCAAGTGTACAGAAAGAAGTACCTTTGCTTTGCAGGGTAGGAAGTCATTTCTAGCACTTTAATAGACATCTTTCTGTCCTCATTGCTACCTGTATGTCTCCGCTGAATTACTACCATGGCCTTGTCACTGCTTTGTTGGTTTTCTAAAAATACTTCTTTATTTGTATGGCTGTGCCAGGTCTTGGCTGTGGCACAGAGGATCTTTAGTTGAGACATGCAAACTCTCAGCTGTTGCATGTAGGACCTAGTTCTCTGACCAGGGATCGAGCTCAGGCCCCCTGCACTGGGAGCTCGGAGACTTAGCCACCGGGTCACAGGGAAGTCCCTTGTTACTGGTTTTGATGTCTTTGGTGTATCCCTTTATCTCCATATGTAACTGGAGGTTTTCCCAAAATGCAAGTTTCATTAGAACCCTTCAATACTTCAGCTTTGAAGATTCTAGGAGATGCTTTACCTGTGCTCACTGCCTACTCTCGTTCTCATCTTTCCTTGACATCAGCTCTCCACCCAGTACACACATCGCCCCTGCCACACCCCACAGTACCACACACAACCCCGCAAACACACACCCCACAATACCACACACACATATTCATACACACCCCACAATACCACACGCACTCACCACACACATATACATACCCCACAATACCACACACAACCCCCCAAACACACACCCTACACAGAACATACACCCCACAATACCACACATACACACCACACACACACAACATACACACACACTCCA